ATGTTGTCATTTTTTGTGTTAAGTTACGTTTCGGAGCAAAAATCAATTACCGAGAAGGTTTGTTGAATGTGTGTGTTTATTTTTATTTGAACATTGCTAAACTCAAAGTCCTCCGTGGCTGAATTGGTTAACTTAACGCCAGGCCAAATAACAGTTTCAGTATTGGATACAGGTTCGATTCCTGTCGGACAAAGTTTCTACGAGATTTCTCAAATATTCAGGCCGGTATATGTAATTCATACTGTTTAATTAAAAACGGATCATTTACTCAAATAAGTTGTATCTATAAAAAAAATAACGTATAAAAATATATTTAAATATCTGTCGGATTTAATCTATTGCCGATATATATATATATATATATATATTTTTTTTTTTTTAAATTCAGACGACATCCATTCAACCGACGTCAGGTTTCAATTGTAAAATACATCCTCACCCTTACCAAAATGTAGCTAATAACTATACTGTCATAAGGGAAAATCTATACCCCGTGTTCAATAGAATATAACCATGGAAACGTGATAAATATAAAACCGGTAAATTTTAAAAGTTGTCAAATTGAAATAGAACTAATGCTTTTAATTTATTTGCAAAAAATAAAATTAGGGGTTTAAGCTTCTATTTTTGAAACATGGTTGGAATAGCGAAAATAACCATATTTTAAATCAATTATATATATATATATATATATATATATATATATACTTAATTGAATCAGTTGTCAAGTACTCATACGATTATATATAATATAAGAGAAAAGAGAGAGAGAGAGAGAGAGAGAAATCTCAATAACAGTGCTGCTCATAAAAGGTAGCCCCAACGGTACATCGTTATTACAGTATCTCTTTCTTTCTCTCTCATTCTTACTTTCTTTTTTCTCTCATCTCTATTTCACTATATATAGAGATAGATAGATAGATAGAGAGAGAGAGAGAGAGAGAGAGATTAAGAGAGAGAAAGGAAGAAGCGAGAAAGGGAGATTTATATAGTTTCGTCTATAAAGTATATATTAGGTTGGTGCTAAGATAATGACGTAATAATGTCGTTTTTTGACGTTAAAAAATACGTCAAAAAACGACATTATTACGTCATTATTTTTGCACCAAACTAATAGTTATAGAAGTATTCACATGGAGCGATCTATCTATGTTTTCGTCTTTTCTTTCTTCAAGAATTTCTTTTATTTCTTCTTTCATTTTTTCCTTCTGCCTGTTTTCTACTTCCCGACAATCTCTTCACAGATGAGCAAGAGGCTTGAGGGAAGAGACACGTGGTTTTGCAGAAGGATAATAAGATTTCCATGGACTGAAAATGTGAGCATCAACGAAGTTATGAAAAAAATGGAAGCAAAAAAAAAAAAAAAAGGACCCATCGTGTTAAAATCAGAAAGAGTCCATTGAAATTTCTAGGGCACCAATTGAGAAAAGGAGGGCATGGAAATTTAACGCTATCACTTTAAGACAAGGGGGATAGCAGCGCATAACGATATTGGGTAAATGGTTGACAGAACAGGGAATTAGAAGATATAGCAAAAAGACAAATATTACTAAGAGCTACAAAGGACAGGACGCTGTGGCTAACAAGGATCACCTACGTCCTGAACGGACAAGATAAATAGAAGAAGAAAAACATTTGACCATCGATTTGAGGAGGTTAAGACTGAAATATTCAGGGATGTATCCCTTCAGAAGTCTGTTCCACAAAGCAACGATTCTCGGGAAGAAGCTAAGTAGCATTTCCACTTTACTAATGGAATACGAAGGGAATGAGGGTGATTCGACCCTGTGTACGCGGCATGTAAAGGTCTTAGTGGAACTAAGAAATATAGTCCTTCTAATCTTTTATGATGGAAGTAGCGATAGAATATCGATCAGCTTTGAGACGTTTTGTCTGTAAGAAAAGAGCTGTAGGGTCGAAAATAATTAAGCGCCTCCAAGGCTGTGTAAACATCTTCGAACACTGTCAAGTCTGCAAAGGAATGGATACGCAGCTACAGCCTAGATAAGTTTACTTATGCTTTCAGAAATACGTAAGCTGCGTACATGAAACTGTATCATAGCATTATATATCTTTACTGAAATATTAATATTTCAAAGTATTTGAAAAATTATTATTGTCTTCAATTGTTCTTTCACTGAGTCTGAGAGTTTCGTGCATTCAACAATCTTCAGTAGCTGAAGTTTGTACGAAAATATATCATTATAATTATGTTTGTCCATCCTTTCGTTAGTTCACACGACCGTCACGTCCTGCCAATACTTCATAAATAATGATCTATTGCATTTTGATCGCGTGGAAAAGACATTAGTTGGTTTCAGTGAAAAACTGAAAGAGAGAAAGGAAGACAGAAGTGGAGGGAGAGAATCAAATTAAGCTGATAGGAACAGATAATACACATTCATCTCTTACTCCTCTCTCTCTCTCTCTCTCTCTCTCTATATATATATATATATATATATATAAAGAAAAACATAACACTTTAAGGCTCCATGGTAATAGTTTATTTTCACCAGAGACCTTTTAAAGGACGCTGGATCATCACTTCAAAAAGGTGAAATTATAATATATTATATATATATATATATATATATATATATATATAGCGAGAGAGAGAGAAACAGAGGAAAAAGAGCACTCCATATCGTTGATAAAGCGTTTATCGATAGATAATAGATATATAAAAGACAAGGCCAATTGCAATGTTGATTCCTACGCCCACCAAGTCTATATCTATCTCTATATATCTAAAAATATATATATACATTTCATATATATATATATATATATATATATATATATATATATATATATATATATATATATACGGGATAGAGAATCCAGTCGTTTTCGACATACTGCACTGCACTTGAAGCCCTACTTGGGTTCGTGCCTTTGATTGTTTTTAAGGATAGCTCGCGACCCACGCAACATTCCATCTAAATGATAAGGAAGATCATCCTTCTGTGAAAGATTAAGGTCTATTAAACCGGTACTTTGTAATAATTGCACGCACACACACATAATATATATATATATATATATATATATATATATATAGAGAGAGAGAGAGAGAGAGACGTGTTTGTATATGCACGCGTGTATGTGAATGCAAATGTGCGTGCGTATATATATATATATGTATGCATCAATATATATATATATATATATATATATATATATATATATATATATATATTAGATAGAAATATATAAGATATTAGATAGAAATATTATATCCAACATCGATAACACAACTCGGAGTTGCATGCAGTGTATCTCATGTCTCATTTTGCCTGGATACACACACACACACACACACATATATATATACACATACAAATATACATACATACATATATATATATATATATATATATAGATAGATAGATAGATAGATAGATAGATAGATATACTGCATATAATTAGAGAGAAAGTGAGAGAAAGGAAGAAGAGAATAAGTGGGAGATTTATATGGGTTCGTCTATAAAGTATATCTATGTGGTATATATATATATATATATATATATATATATATATATATATATATATATTTGGTTGGATAGATGTGAGTTTGGACCAGGGTTTCACGCTTTTAGCGATCGTTTTGTCTGACGATCGGTAAAAGCGTGAAACCCAGGTCACAAACTCACATCTATCCAACCAAATATGTTAGTTTATCTCTGATATTGAGTGCTTTCTAATAAGTAGCGCGCATAATATATAAATAATTATATATATATATATTTATTTGTATTTATATACACTTTTCACACACACACACACATATATATATATATATATATATAATTGTATGTATATATATATATATACATATATATATATATATATATATATATATATATATATATAGATAGATAGATAGATAGATAGGTATGTATGAATATACACACACACACACACACACACACACACACACACACATATATATATATATATATATATATATATATATATATATATATATATATATATATATATATATATACACCATATAGATGGTACGAAAGAAACACCTTTCACATATACCTCGCAAAAATACCTCCACGTGTTCAACCATTAGCTAATGTCTTACCATTATGTGTAACGTGTTTCTGGAGTGGGGGTATATGTAAGATGTATCTCTGCCGCACCTTGTATAATCCGTTTGAATTTCTTATAGTGTTATAGTGCATCATTTATTTTGTGTTTTACAATAATCTAATACTTGTAAACAGAGAATAGGTCACAATAACTGAACGCGAATTTTTATTAGGTCTGAGAAAAGATGCAGATAAACTTAAATGAACATCGTGGATGCTGAAGTGTCGTAGCCAGAACAAAAAACAATTGTAATAATTGTTGGAAGTTGAAGTACAAAATGTGATAAGAATTTCTAGGGGTTTCAATTCAGTCAGCGGAGTTATCCGTTGGAAAGCTGTGAGAAAATGCATTCAGGCTGGGAGGAACAGTGTTCAGTCAAAAAGTAAAATAAAATAAGCATTTCTGTAAGCAGGTAGAGATGATAGGACGCCCGATAAATTTAATTAAATCACGGTTGAGAGTTAAAGAACAAAAGAAAGATAGATAGATAGATAGATAGATAGAGAGAGAGAGAGAGAGAGAGAGAGAGTTAGAATCAAACAAACAAAGCACAAGGGTATAGGAAACACACAGTAATAAAATTAAAATGTGAGCAATGAAATCGGGAAAATAAAGGCGAGAATGGTCCGAGATTTAACGAGAGAAAAAGAAAGAAAGAAAAGAATTATAGTGGATTACTAACGAAAGAAAGAAAGAAAGCAAGAAAGAAAGAAAGAAGCATAAATAAATGTCTAGCTAAAAGACCGTATCACTATGCGTCACGAGGTAAAGAAAGGCAGTAAATATATTTTTTTAAATAACACTGACAGTTGTGTCGAGAAAAGGAGTGTGTGGCTTGAAAAATTCACCGACAGTGAAAAAGAAAGAATTCAACGTGGATGGTTAAAGAAAGGAAGTCAAAGGCGAAAGAAGGAAGGAAGGAAGGAAGGAAGGAAGGAAGGAGGAGGAGGGAAGGAAGGAATAAAGAAAGGAAGGAATAAAGAAAGGAAGGAACGATCGAAGTAGGAAGGAAGTCTTCGTAAAAGAACGTATTTCTCGGCACGATGAAGAAACGAAATGACAAGGTAAATAAAATTACAAAAAATGAAATTAATTAAAGAAATCGTGACACGAAAAAGTGAGAATGGGAGAGGGGAAAAGAAAGAAAGAAAGAAAGAAAGAAAGAAAGAAAGAAAGAAAGAAAGAAAGAAAGAAAGAAAGAAAGAAAATCGGGAAAATAAAGGTGAGAATGGTCCGAGATTTAACGAGAAAAAAAAAGAAAGGAGACAAGAATGATAGTGGATGGCTGAAGAAAGAAAGAAAGAAAGAAAGAAAGAAAGAAAGAAAGAAAGAAAGAAAGAAAGAAAAAAGAAAGAAAGAAAGAAAAAAGATAACGTGTCAATAAATAAATAAAAATATTCATTGGACAGACAAGAAATGAAACAAGCGAGAACGTGGTAGAGGAAAGGAATGAATCGAAAATTAAAAGAGATGACAATTTAAATTGCGAGAGACGAAAATATAATTTAATGAGAAAGTGGTAATGAGAGAGCGTGTAATAAAGTGATTAGCAAGAAAAGAAATAAATGATTTCGAGAGTGAAAGAAGAAAGCAGTAAGCAGAGGAGAGAATTATTTAGTAGTGATATAGCAGGAAGGGTAGAACGAATCTTTGAGGTAAAGAGAAAGGAAGGGATATAAGAAAAAGACGTTAGTTAAGTGGGGCAAGGTAGTTAAAGGGAAAGTGGTGAGAGAAAGCGGGAGTTAACAAAAATAAGGTATAACTCTTAGAGAGAAAACAACAAAAGATAGAATGAAAAATCGAGAGAGGGGACAAGAAATAGAAATGTGGACTTTGAGGCTCGTAAGATTTTCTTAATCTTCTTCTATATGCCGTGTGCCTTCAGGTCGTTGGCGATCATTACTCTTCATAACTTAACAATGTCCTTTGTAGTTTTTGGTCAGATTTTTCTTTTTGTTATCGCTCCTAATCCCTGTTCTAACAACACAGACTCCTTAGGTAGTATTCGCCGATTTCCTCTCTGTCCCTTGTGCCTTCAGTATGACTTGTGTGTGTCACATTCTTTAAGCCCGCTTTCCTCATTGTGTTCTAGAAATATAAAGTGTCGTTTTCTGATTCTATGTAAAAGTATCCTTTTTGTTTTACATTTTCTTAAAAATTTTCTCGTTGCTCATATGTTCATTCTATGAAATTCTCAACATCTGTCAGTAGAACCTCTGATGGCTCAAGTCGCTTCTTCATCTGTGGAGAGATTATCCAGTATCCACTGTCATATAAGAGAATCGATATGACATAAACAGTTCGGTATTCTTTTCTTAGCTTATTTAATGTGCAAAATCGAAATAAGTAAAGCGTACATATGATGTAAGCGATAAAAAGAGAAAAAAGAAAGAAGAAATTAAAAGCGGATAGAATTCGTGGGTGAAAAAAAGTTGCGTTCTTCCAATATCGGTAATGCTCTCCCCGCTTAAAATAAAGACGCTGCACAATCTTCTTACATCTTATTTGCTTTCGTTTAACTTTGTGTTAGTGTCCGTCCTAAGCATGGCGTTAAACTTCATCCGACAGCAAGGCCTCTGATCGGGAGGTTTTGAGAAGAGTAGAATCACCTGTTAATTCCTGCTGTTCCCCATGTTCTCGCTAACCCTTAGTGGTAACGCCAGTTAGGGCCCCAGCTGTGGATAAATAGTTAACCCCCAAACTGAGGTCAAAACAATATAAAAGTACAAAAAAGTTGTAGTAAAAATACATTTTCATAATATTAAAATTACTGGCCATAAATTTTGTAATAAATTTAAAAAAAAATTACCAGCAATAGAGTTTTGTAAATATATATATATATATATATATATATATATATATATATATATATATATATATATATATATATATATATATATTACCAACAATACAATTTTTTTTCTTGTAAAATGAAAAAGAAAATACCAGCAATATTTTTGGGGGTAAAAAGAAAAAAAAATACCAGCAATACATTTTGCAAAAAAATAAAATTTACCAGAATACATTTTTGTAATAAAAAAAAATAATTACCTGCAATACACTCGTGAACAAAAAAGAAACTTACCAGCGATACATTTTGTAAAAAAAATCTACCTGCATTACATTTTTGTGAAAAAATTATTACCAAAAATACATTTTTTGTAAAAAAAAAAAAATATATATTTTTTATATAAAAATTACCAGCAATATATGTTTATAAAAAAAAATTACCAGCAATACCTTTTTTATAAAAAAAATTACCAGCAATACATTCTTTTATAAAAAAAGTTACGAGCAATACATTTTTTGCAAAAACAAAAAAAAAAAAACATTATCAGCAATATATTTTCATACTCCTCCCGGGTCTTTTGAGTCGGGGTTTATCCATTGTTTCCTGTTTAGCATTAGGTTTCTAGTTTCTACAAAACGCCCACTAGTCCCTTGCGTCTTAGTGGCATTATCGCCTTGCTTGTGTTGAATTGATTAAAAACAAAGTTAATAAAGAGACATGTGCACATCTATGATTAGAAATAACTCAAAGTGGAAAGGATTCATGTTTTTCCCAAGGTTATAGTCCAAAAATAAACAAAGGGTCTTAGCTAGAACTCGAACCGATTCTTGTTCCATTCTGATAAATCGGTAACACACACCACGCACCTCTTGAAAAAGGAAGGTAAAATAGAGAAAATAAGAAAACCATACGTCTGTGAACTGATAGCTTATTTCTAATTGTTTCAAATGGTTCATGTTTGAGAATTTCGAGTACTAATCTAGCAAGCAGCACCTACTTGAAAATTTGGCGGTGTACAATCTTCCACACTCTCGACTTGATTTTATTTACTTCGCACTGCGCTTAGTAAAATAGTAGATTACGACTCTCTATAGTGCATACATATTTAGATATATATAAATATTCGTGTATTCGCATGTATAGACATTCATTTTATACTTTCTTTTCTACACACATGCACATAAGGCTTACGGCGATATCACGTAGGAACGCTGGAGTTCCCATACGATCACCGAAGTTAAGCAACGTCATTTCTGGTCATTACCTAGATGGGTGACAGCTTGGGAATAGTTTTGGGTGTGCAGGTGGTGTAATGGATAACGGCTCGCGATTGAAAGTCGGAGAGCCGTGTTCCAATTTCAGTTGGGTTCGTTATATTCACTTCTACGCAAATACCTTAGGGAAAGTTATGAAACCACTTCTTCCCCCCACGATGGGTTAATTAGTAAGACTAATATCATTAAAACCATTGTCATCTAAAAATAGATAAATTTTGTTCGAAATATTTAGATTTCGGCATTAAATAATAATCCACAGAGGTTGATATCCTGCTAAACAAAAAAGCAAACAAACATCTAGTATACTAAGAAATTACAGTGTAACCCGGATATAAGAGAGTTTTCGGGACCGGAGAAGAAGTCTCTTATATCCGGGTTTGGTCTATATGTATACATTAACACAGGCTCTAATTTGGGACCAGATCAAATCTCTCTTATATCCGGGTTTCTCTTATATCCGGGTCTCTTATATCCGGGTTACACTGTACTACAACGTATTTTTTTTTTCTTTCCTCCTTTTTATTCAGTATTACAGTCGAATCCATTACATTCATTTACGTGCTAATACCCTTGGGATAGGTATGAATCCTTTTCTTCTTCTTCCCCCCAGCTATGGGTAAATAGCAGGACAGACAGGGTTCTATAGCCTTGCATGGAAAGTGATCTACCGCAGAACGAAATGGCAACCTACTGCAGGAAAAAAATCTTCGTTGTCAGTCATCTATCGAAAGATACATGATCGCCTAAGTGTGTATCACGCATTGCACATCACTGACTGAACTTACAGTGTACTTTGGTTTAGAATTTAATTGGACAAATTAAATCTCTTTAGGCGTGAAAAGGACCAAAACAAATAGGAATGTTCAGTTTCTTCTAACTTCCGTAAATTGCTTACACTAAAATGCATCTATAAGTACATACACAGCCCGTACGCCATAACCAAAAAACAATCGATAAATAAAGCCAACGGCGACAACAGAATGAGACAACGAATAGTTTAAGAAAACACACACGCACACATACTGTGGCCATACACGAAGATCCGATGCAAGGGCCTTGTGTCCCCACCACAACCCGAATCTATAATACACTCCCAATCTTTCTCACACACACACCCCCACTCTACTACATATCAATTTTCATAAGGTAGTATTCATATAAAATACAAATTTTATTGTAACCTAATTATATACAATAATGGATCATATGCAATATAGGTGAATATTTTAACTAGAAAAACTCAAAATAAATGTATTTAAATACAAATTAGCCATAATAGATCATTGCATCTTAAATAAATCAACAATGCTTTACGGTAATTTTTAGCATCAACCTGAGATTTTTCTTGTTAAAAAGTTAAAGAATTTTAACACAATCAACATTATGGATAAAAAAAAAAGTGAATTTTATTTTTATATAGTGTCTGTTCGAGACTTACAATAAACAAAATCAAATTCACGGATTTGAACAAAAAATTAAATAAAATAAAAAAAATAAAAAAAACAAAATGACATCAAAATCCGCTAAAAATTTTCATCCTTGACTCGTCAGTTGTGCTTCTTTAAAATCGTAACGTTTATTAATGTAGGTAAAAAAAAAGAAGCAAAAGTTGATAACATATCGCGGATTACAAAGCAGAGCCCGGGGTCACCAGTCAGGCTTCGGTGCCCCAATCCCCGGAAGGGGACAGTACGCACCGGCCCCACATCTATGAACACGCTTCAGAAAAAAATTAATAAAATATAAGAATGCATGCATGCTATAGATCCAGCGGAAAACAGAAAAAATATATATAAGCAAAACTAGCCCGGCAAAAGAACACCGCAGT